AAACTTTTGATTCGCTCCTTTTTGGACAATTTTTCGCTTCTTTTGTCAACTTCCCTCTTTTTTCATCAATGAAATATATACAAAATTAACCCTCAATTCATTTATAATGACAATAATTGCTCTAACTTAACAATTGGTATTACATTTATCAAACACCCCCCAAACTTGAACAATTGTTTGTCCTCAAACAAAATAAGGCTTAACTACACAAAATTTTCACAAAAACTTGGTTGGATAACCTGCTTTTAACCTCAGGATTGGACTTTTAGAGTTGAAAATATAAAGTATTTCAGAATCACAATGTCAAATTAATCTCTACATATTCAATGCAAAATTGACACGTGTTTGTGTGTGTGTGAAGATTCATGTAAAGCATCACAAAGTTATAAATTTATTCAATTCTCGACCATCTGTGACCAAATATTTCCTTTCTCCGCTCGTAAGATACACACTCCAAAAATTTATTCTTTACTCTTCCACAAGGGGTGCTTTGAGGTTAAAATTTAATAAAATACTAATCCTCACCATCTCTAGATTGGCTCGATTTTACTAATTACTGCTCAATACATTGACAAATGATGATTCTTTTTATTTTTGATTTCTTCAACTTTTAAGAATCAACTAAGCTAAAAGTCTAATTATCTCCAATAAGTATTTGCGGTTTAATCAAGGCATATTGCAGTATAATTTTATTTATTATTATTACTATTCCATTGACTAGTGCAATGCCCCTTATTAAACACCCAATCTCAAAAATCGACTCCCAACTTAAGATTTCAATCTAGTTTCATCTTATTAATTACTTACAATCCACCCAAAAACTTAGCATATATGGAATCTACATATGTCTCTATGTATCCCTACAACAATTCAATCATCCCCCAAACTATCCTAAAATTGGTTTAAGGACGTATAACATTGTGGATGTTCAGGCTAAGCATCTAAGGTTCATTAATTTCCATCTACTCCTCAATATGAATCAAAAAAAATTTCATAATGCAAAACATAAATATAGTGATCATCAATATCTAGTTTCATATGAGTAAGCATAAAAACTTAACTCATAATTCATCCGTCATTTACAGGCCAGCTCCATGCTCCAATATTTTTGTCATTGTTAGCAAATTATCCAACCCACACAAGCATACAATAATATATAAAAGAAGTAATAAAACTAAAAAGTAGATTATTCTTTTACTTTTTTTCACACAAGCACGCAACGATTTAAAACAAAAGATTCGATGAAACAACCACCTTTGAACTGGATAAAGACGTTGTTCTCAATGTCCAAAAATAGTGCAAGTAATAAACAAAAGGTATAAACAAAGAAAAGATCGGGTACTCTGGTATCAGTTCGTGGATAGTGGATTAAATAACAAGAAATCTCCAGACTAGATTGGTCCTGCGTGGATAGCGGCAGATGAATGGATCTAGAGTAAAGGTCTCGCATCATAACACACATTTGATCAATCTGTCTATGCATATCCTTTGATCAGGTCACGTTATGGTCAAGAGCCTAAATATTAACAAAACGATTTTGGGTTTTAGCCTATTATTTCATCATTGCCCTAAGAGGTAATTTTGGAATCACAACCCAACAACTTCACCTTGATGCCAATGGATTTCTGGACACTTGCAGCTCTCCAATTGACAACAAGTTGTACCTGCAAAAATAGAGTTTAACCTATATCAATATTCAGAAGTGCCAAACGTGATTGAAATTTTGAAAGAGGTAATACATTTGTTCTCATATCTGATGGATTGAACTGTATAGTAATTTCTTCAAGGACAGATTCACTAGAGATAACACTTCTAATAAAATGTAACTTTACATCTATATGTTTATTCTTTCATGAAAAAAAGTATTCTTACACAAATGTTTTGCACTTTGGCTATTAGAATAGACAATAACCGAGTTCATTAAGCATGCTTATTTCAAATAACAATCCTCTGAGCCACAAGGCTTCTTTCATAGTCTTTGTGGCAGCCATATGCTCAGCCTCTGTGGTAGACAAAGCAACAATGAGCTGCAACTGTGTTTCCAACTTACACAAGTACCACAATGAGTAAACATATAAGCAGATGTAGATTTTCTATTGTCCTTCATTTCTATGTTCAAGACTAATCCCAACTTGGATGTGCCTTCCAATACCTAAGAAGCCATTTAAGAGCTTCCTAGTGTTCAAGACCACGGTTAGCCATAAAACTACTTAGAGTGCCGATTGCATGAGCTATATCAGGTCTTGTACAGATCATAGTATACATGATAGATCCCACAGTATTAGTATAAGAGACCTTTTCCATATATCTTATATCAGATTCATCAATTGGGCATTGCTCTTTACTAAGTTTTAAATGACTAGCTAAAGGCAAAGAAACATATTTTGAATCATGCTTAAAAAAACTTAGATAAAACCTTTTCAATGTATGCTGACTGTTTCAAAATTAATATGGATTGAGATCTTTTTCTAACTACGTCCATTCCCAAGTATCCTTTTAGCATGACCCAAATTTTTCATATCAAACTCAGTTTCAAAAGCTTCTTTAATATCATTTATCTGTTTTTAATTAGGCCCAATTGGAAGCATGTCATCAACATAAAGTAAAATATAAACAAATATTACAAATTCATAATTTTTCTTAGAGTAAAGTCAATGATCATAAAAGCTTCTCACAAATCCAACAATCATAGCAAAATTGTCAAATCTTTTGTACCATTATCTAAATGACTATTTTAATCCATATAGAGATTTATTACGCAGGCACACAAAGTCAAATTTAGATTCATTCACAAAACCTTCAGGTTGTGACTTGTAAATGGTTTCTTTCAAATCACCATGTAAGAAAGTTGTCTTTACATCAATTTGTTCCAATTCCCAATTATGACGAGCAACTAATACAAGTGGGACTCTAATAGTAGTATATTTTACAATAGGTGAAAATATTTCATTGTAGTCCATACCCTGTTTTTGTGTAAGCCCCTTAGCTATAGTTTGGCCTTAAATCTTAAAAGTTCAATTTTAGAACTACCTTTTTTTACCTTGTAAATCCATTTACAGTTAACAGTGGATTTATTTTTGGGTCTTAGAACAAGAACCCAAGTTTTATTCTTTGTTAAAGAGCTCATCTCTTCCCTTATGGTAGATTTCCACTTACTAGATTGATTATAACTCACAGCTTCGTTATATGTTTTAGGTTATCTATAAGCAAGGTCATTATATGATTATAAGATAGGAGAGAGAAGGATAGCTAATCTTCATATCCAGGAGATTATTTTCCTTCTAGACTTATCCCTAACCAATTAATAGTCACTCAAGTCATTTTGTTGACTAGGATCACTAGTCTCAGTTTGATCCTATAATCCTAGTCTCAGTTTGATCCTGTTCCTGCACACATTGATGTTCAATTTCAGTTTGAGTCTAGGGTTGTGCACGTTCATTTTCCCTTCTATAATTTTGAATAGGATTAGATTGAGGACCATACTCCACCTGAAACCTCGTCACATCAGAGATTTCAGGGTCTGCAGACTTTTGTTTTGCCAAACAAGGCATTTCTTCTTCATTTAAGGTGACATCTCTACTTGTTATTATCTTATGCCTTCCTTGATCTCTAGCCCATAGCCTATGGCCTTTAATACCTTTAGGGTAACTTAGGAAGATACATTTTTGAGCCATTGGCTCCAATTTTCAGAAATTTAGGTGAAAATAGGCAATACACTTAAACATTCTAAGGTAAGAGTAGTTAGGAAAGCTTCCACATCACTTTTCCTCAAGAGCTTTACCTTCCAGTGCACTGAAAGGTATTCTATTCGATATATATATATGGCTATAACAACAGCCTCTCCCCACAGATCTTTAAGGACACCAGATACCACCATCGTACACATAACCTTATCAAGTAAGGTCATATTCATTCTCTCAACAACCCCATTTTGTTGGGGTGTGTATAGAACAGTTTTATGTCTTAAAAATTCCATTTTGTTCACAGAATTTATCAAATTCAGAGTTGCAAAATTCTAACCCATTAATAGTTCTCAAGACTTTAATCTTTACTGACATCTGATTTTCAATTAAGACCTTCCAATTTTTGAATTTTTCAAAGGTTTCAGATTTATGCTTTAGAGAAAAACCTATAACTTTCTTGAAAAATCATCAATTATTGAAAGGAAATACTTGTTCCATCCTTCAGTGATAGTGAAGGCCGAACCCCACAAATTAGAGTGAACATATTCTAGTAGAGAAGTAGTTTTATATTTTCCAGAATTGAACTGCAATCTGTAGTGTTTTTCAAGTGTGCAATTCACACAAAATGTATTTTTAACATTAAATATTTTCAAACACTCCCCTTTGTATAAGATAGTGAGACATTTTTTTTTTTTTACCCCCATGAGCTAATCTCTTATGTCATTTTAAGGTGGAATTAGGTTCAATACTAGACACTATAGCTGCATTCTCAAATGCTATTTCAGCTCTAGCAACATAAATTCCATTTTTCTTGACGCCCTTGAAAATGACAAAAGATCCTTTAATTACTTTCATCATGCCATCTCCAATCCTAGCACACAGTCCTATATCATCTAATTTTCCAATTGAGATTAGATTCCTATTGAGTTTAGGTACATACCTAACTCTCTCTAGGATATACATGTAGCTATTTTCAAATTTTAGGGTCACATTGCCTAAACCCTCAACCTTACATGCAACATCTTTTCCCATCACTACTTCTTCACCCCACCCCCCCCCCCCCCCCCCCCCTCTCATTTTAAAAAAACATTGTTTTGAATAGTTTTTGGAGAATGTGTGTAGAAAATTTCTCTGTTATTATTTCCTGAACGATTCTAATTTGTTTGAGTATTATTTTGCTTATTTAGCTATCTCCCTCTCATAAATAAACGAGGAAATCCCTTCAACTTGTCAAAATGATCGCTTTGCAGTCCAATTTGCGAAGCCATTTGGCATTCTTTTTTTCAGCATCAAGGATTTTCAAACTACTTTTCTTGATCGCACAAAAGATTACTTTGTTTTTTAGTGAGGGAAGAATATACTTGACAAAAATGTCTTTTCAAATTAAAAAAGAATAAGGTCAATTGCATTGAAGACGAAACGAATGGCCCTTCTAGACAGAAGTCGTGTGCTGGTTCCACCCCAACCATCCATAGGTTGCTGCCCATTTCTGGGATCACAAGGCATAGCATATTCATGGGTCCCTGTCTTATTTGTCCAACCAGATTCAAATGACATATCTTGCTCGACCTGTCCCAAACTCCCTGCAGGCGTTCCTGCCCAACCTTGTATGGAGGCTATTCTCTTTGTAGGGAGAGGATCGAGAGGCATAGCTTGGTTTTTTTGCTTCCTGACGTTCCCTATTTCTATCTCTTTTCCTCTGGTTCGATTGAGAGGGAATGTTAGGCAATGATGCAATCTGGTGAGAATTTGAAGTACTTGTTCGACGTAGAGTAATGATGCCATCATGGCCAAACAAAAATTCCTTCAGTTGAACCCCTCCAATCTGGCCATCCATGAAGGACAAAACGTACTGGGTAGAAAGGTTAATGCATTCATAGATCTGTTTTATTTGCGCTTGTCCCACTGCCCTAGCAACATTCTGAGACCGATCACTAAAATCCTCAACCTGTGAAGAATGATAGTTACTATATACTTAAAATAACCAAGGGCGTAACAAATCAAGTATCACAAGTGTAATTACACTTATGCAAGCAACTTTACAGTTCCATGCTTTGGACGTCCAAGATCCATCATACGTGCTCACGCAGAGACCTTTGAGCCACAGATTTTCAACAGAAGATAACTGCAAAGGATAAGAAGTAAAGGTCGATTTTGGTAAGAAACCAACACCACTAAAATAAATAACTTAATGATCACCAATGGTGTAAGCACTACCATGATCAGTAGAGTGACAAAGAGCTCAGCCACAGATTCTTGATTACTTTTTCCATAGTTCATAAAACTAGGTATTGTCTTCTTCACTGTTGCAGTGTCCATCTACAGCATATAAAGCCAGTTAACATCCCAAGGATGACCAAGAAAAAAGAGCACGAGAACAGTAGATGTGCGACATTGTTTGGTCAACAAACGTCATAGAACAAGAAGCAAAGTGAAGCAGGGAATCCTGTACCAGCAACTATTACATGTAACATATTATATTGAATTGATGAAGAGGGACTGCAGCAGTTTAGCAGAGTAGGCTATCGAAGATAGGTTGAACCCTTCTGTGACAGTAAGATGACAAGGTAAGGGGAGACAAATCCTTGCACATGAGCAAATACCATATTGACAACACTAAATCCAGAAACATGGTGAGATAAAGGAGGAGGGGAGATAGAATAACAGGGAGGGAGAATAGGGAGAGAGAGACCTACAAGACAGGAAGAGAGGGGCAATTTAGTGAGGAAATTATAGTTTTGTCCAGTAACAAACTGTTACAATTTATAAGTCTCTTTATATAGGGTTTAAACTAATCTAATTTAAGTAGGAACCAACCAAAAAAATACAAGAAAACTCATAAAAACCCTAATTAGTTTTCCTAAATAAGAATCTAAACTTGGAAAGTCTTCATATAATATATCTAGTAGGATCTCCATCACATGGACTGTTCGGTGTCAGCTAAAAATGCGAGATTATCAGTGAAGAATGAAATAGGCAGCTGATACAATCAGTTAATCAACTTACGCGCAAGATCACCGTTGCTGCATTCATATGAACCCTTGAAAACTCACTTGAAAGAATATTCACTACATTAGTCATTCCTAATTTGAAAGAAGGAAAAAAGAATCTGCTGCAGCCAGCCCTTAAAACACACACAACAACTTTTACCAATGAATTTTGGGTCAACTACATAAATCCATTTTTGCCATTCCATTTGGTTTATTGCTAGAACCATGGAACTACTCAAAGATCCAAAGTAAATAGATACTTAGAAAGTACAACAAACGATTTCCTCCCTTCAATTCTACTAAATTTCGATCAATCTTATGAACAAGGTCCTCTTCAACTTTATGCAAAGACGTGTTGCAACCACTTAAATGGTCTTTTCTTAATTGATCCTCAATGCTATGACCTGCATTTGTTGGCATATATTCTCGTTTCTTATTTTATCCATTCTAATATGACCACACATCCATCTTATATCCTCATTCTGACTACACTCATCTTATAAACATTTTGTGATTTAACAATGTGATATTCAGTACCATAAAGCCTTACAAGTTCAATAACCATTCTATAAAATACGCCTTTAACCTTATATAGATCTTCCTATTCTGTAAAATAGCCCTTTTACCAAGTTTATCATGTGCAGGTGCTAATATTTTCTCCAAACAAAAACTTAAGTACAATAAGCTTGTGTCATTTTCCGATATCTTGACAGGCAATTGAATGTGACACATATTTGATGGCCTGCGAAATGCCTTAAACGTGACTTCTAACACTATTTAGTAGCGTCCATATTGAAAGTTCACACTAGACAATTTACTCTGACTTGTTTTTATAATTTACACCCTTTTGTATTGCCATTTCTTACTGCTGTATTTATGTTAATGCACTTTCCAATGATACATAAACAAGGTATTTCTGGTCCTTTATAGAGAAGATAAATAAGAAATTAAACATAGGAAATTAAACATAGAGTTCGTCAAATGAAATAAACAATTATAACACAAGTTCACATATCTTATTGCATTTGAAAGTAGAAGTTGAGGATGTTATTTAGCATGGAATGATCAAAGGACTGTAGTCAGTAAATTAAGCCCTGTTTGACAACCATTATTTAAGAAAAATAGAGTTTTGAATAGCGATTTTTAGGAAAAGGTGTGATTAAAAGTAGGAAAAAGTTTTGGGTCTAGGTGTAAAATATTTTATTGTGTGAATATGTGTTGAAAATAAGTATGTAGTAAAAAGAGTTTGATAATAATGATTGTCAAGCAGGGGCTAACTAAAAAATACACAGTATTACCTTTGAATAAGGCAGAAAACGGAGGTAATATAGGTGGCTTCCGAGAAAAAAAAAAAGATGGGAGAGAGATCAAATCGGAGCGTATTGACAGGTAGAATGTTAGCACATAATGGAAGAAACCCAAATCTAGTGTTGTTACAAGTTCATAACAAACCAAACCACCAATATATGATTAGTTTAAGAGACTTGGATACTTGTCTGCATCAGCGACATTTTTACAAGTTCGAATGAGCAAGTACAAAATGATGTGACTAGAAATCATGCACACCAAATAATGAAAGATTAATACCATTCCCTGCCCTATTAAAAATACTTGTTCCATTGCACATTAAACCTATATCAAAAGAAATATCTGTAAAATCTAACTCTAAACATGACGTCCAATATCCAGATGAGCTTCAGACAAGAAGGTAAATTCAGTTTCTTTTAATTTAACAAGTTTGTATTCTCTCTCCCCACCACCCGAAATCCAACAAGGGGAAATGTTTCCAGGTTCATATAAGCTAATTAAGTTGCATTTACACAAGTTTGCTTAATCAAAACAAATTTATTTACCATTACTTTAAACACACATTTACCACCCCACCCCGACCCAACAAGGAAAAGACATTTCAAGCTTCATCTAAGCTTCTTAAGATGTATTCAAACTAAATTGCAACATAATCTAACAATTAAATACATACCACTTATAACAAAATAAACAGATATACTGGAGCACAAATAATAAAAGAAATTGTCAAAAAAAAAAGGAATGGATAAAAAAAATATGAATGCCTAAAATGGTACCTGCAAATGAAAAGCAACCAACAGAATTATGGAGAGAGAATTCAAGGTTTTGTCTTTTGAACTGTTAATGTTCTGCACTATTGCCCAGGATATCATCTGCATAGATTGTCCATGCCAATTAGATAACATAGCATTGGTCATCATATTTCAAGACAAATAGATCCGCATAGCAATGTAGCAAAAATCTCAGGAAACTATGTACAATTATCTTTAGATGCATCTAAAAATTCAATTCTAACCAAACATCAGAAAGAAAAATGGTAAGTATTCTGAAGGGATTGGTTGGGAAAGTCTTGTGTGTCTTAAGGCCGGCTAGTTATGTTTCCACAAAAAAGATTATACAGAGGTTTATCATGTTGAAGTAACTTGGTGTGCCAGGAAGGATGTCTAAGAGACACACTACTATTCTTGCAGTATGGTCCATAAATGGTGTTCAGGCTCCATTTAACCACTTAAGCTCCATCTGCAGAAGCATTTTGTGGAATCTCTTAGGAAAAATTATAATGTAATTACACATCTATTGGTTATACCTAATTTCAATCTTTATACGATTTTCGAACACTATTTCTCCTATATAGTAATACTTCAATCTGGGGTTAAAAGAATTCAGGTCTTCTCATAAGATTTTGACCAAAAAATATTTGATTGACTTCCATCACAACTATATTTATATTTTTGGTCTTGCATCCACAGCGATCTTCTTGTCCACTATTCATGCTCCTGAGTTCTTGAACTTGATACCAAATAATGCAGTACAACTTAACATTTTGCCTTGAGGTGCGAAATGAAAATTGGAAAACAAGTGTCGGAGTGCTGGAAAAAAAGACCCCTAAGGATTTGACTTCAAATTTGATGAAGGGACTATAAATGATAATTCATCCAGTATACCATGAAATTCATGAAGAAATATGGTACCCCAGCGGCACAGATGAGATGGCTAAATATTACCTGTACAATGCTTAGGTCTTAAGCTACAATCAACTCCCTTGAGAGATACCTAAAGAGGCTTACCTGAGTTTGTCATGATCACGTATCTTGTCATGTGGTCCGCATGCTCCACATCAGCGCACACTTTTAAAAAGTGCCCCCGAGACTTATGCCTTGAAATTCGTCAGGCTTTCGTTAATTGCCTCAAAGCTTGCACCTTGGCTATAAGTTTTCAAGGTTTATGCCTCTACTTACTAAGGATCATGGCTCAGGGCACAAGTCTCGAGGCAGTTGAGGTGTGCAGTCTTCACTCTAGTTCCTAAAACAGAGTATTTAAGTGTTGTCCCCTCCGATTGAGAACCACACTTTCATGAGATTCGCAGAGAACCAAACTCAATTTGTATGATGGTGCACAATCCCATCTATGGATACTAAAACCCCGAAATGACACCGCTATGTTATCCTAAAGCATGGCCCAGTTGGTGAAGTGAACATATAGGTTCTAAATTGCAAGTTCATAGAGACTTTCTAAAGTCAAAATAAGCTTAACTGCAACCCAAAAGCTCTACTCCAGTATGGTAAATTACTATCAGTTTTACAAACTCTAAAATTAGAAACCACGCTGGAGTTGATAGCATATCAAGTACTTTTTTCCAGAGATAGTTCTGGATCATTGAGTTCCAATTTTTGTCTTCATCTAAATTCCAAGAAACATTTATAAGTAATTGAGGCTTTCTAGAAGCCAACTAATGAAAACTGAGATATCCCATGCATGCAATTGGCTCTCTAATTTTTCCAAATTCTTGACCCACCTATGCTCCAGGTATGGCAGTTCACTTTCGAATGTATCAGCTAAGAGCCTTGAGTATTGTACGAGGACATGCCCATTACTTTTGGGTGGATTTGCCACAACAGTAGGCTAGTCTTATAGATTAAGCAAGATTAATGAGAGGATGACTTATAACAGACCATCTAGAAGCTTATAAATCGAATGCAAAAGCCTAATAAATAATAAGTTCATTGCAAGCATTTCCATAAGAGCATTCTATTGGCAATAGAAGTATTAAAGTTATTGCAAAAAGAATGATCAAATGCTTCAAATTAAATAAAAGATAAAAGACCATCCAACATAGAGATGAGATTGGAATCTGGACAAATGAAGCTGAAAGGTTGAATGACAAAACATAGATGTATAAAAGAATGAAGGCAAGCTTTACCAAGAAGCTTAGCTTTTTAATCCTTTCATCGATTGAGGAAATAAGGTGTATAATCTGGGATTTCAAGATTCCATCCCTATTTTCAACTGATATATCACATTCAACACCAGTTCCGCGATCAACAACTTTGAGAATAGGCACCTTGGCAGTTGTGATTGGAAGAATACCAGAAACATGCCCTTTACCTAGAGCATATGAATCCATATATAAGATGCATCTAAGTATTGATAAAGAACAAAAGGAGAATGAAATAGGTAGAAACAAGAAGTCCTCAATAATAATTGAAACTACTGTTATAAGTCTGGGGAATGCCATCTACTAATCCATGGAACTTAATCAAATAGAATATATAAGTTAGTGCTTGAAGGAGATGCTTCTCAATACTACTCTGCTTCAATCATATCTTTTGATAGGAAAATATTTCTTTGATAAATTAAAAAAAAAAAAATAGAGAACATAAACATTAATACAGAGCATCTCGTAAAGGAACCAATAGAATTCGAAGAGCCAAGTAAAGCACCCTTCCTCACACAAAATGTGTGAGAAGAATTTGGCCTGAAATAATAGCAAATGTAACCACCCAAATGCTCCAGATATTGTTACAGATCTCACCCACACCTCCCAATCATCTTTTCATCTTGTAATTACTCAATTTCCAAATTTATTTCTTCCATCTTTTGTTCATTGTTTGCTTAGAAAGTATAAGAAATAAAAGACATTATCTCAAATGATCTCTGCTTCAGTTACATATCACCCAGTATTTAAGTTCTAGAAGATGAATGAACTCTGATTTCTGAGGCCTAAATTGCCTTCAGAAATTTGGAGTTAAGAGATGAACAAGTTCAATTTATTCTTAAAAATAATGAAACATGAATCAAAAGAAACCAGGGAAAAATGCAATCTAAAATTTTACATTGTAGAGCATAAAGTTTCTCTGCAAACTTCCTCAGAGTTTAATCTTCTTTTCGTGCGGAAATTCAACCTTGTTAATGCTAAAATTCACGGAGAGATCTAAATCACTAGTTGGACTAAAGAGATCCATTAAGAAAGAACCAAATTCCACCACAACGGGAGTCACTTTTGAATATCCTGAAAAGAAAAGGATCAAAAAACAACAATCATGAAAATGTGCTCCATGAGATAGGCAACTTTCACGGGTCAATGAAATATTCATGGCGATAAAGTGTAAATCATTGTGAATAAAGATCCACAAGTAACATTATTCTATGAACATTATTAGTGAATTAAAAAAGAAGCAAATATGACAAGGGATTTCCTTTCAACAGTTCAGAGTGCGTATATAAATTCAGCATAAAGTATTACCATACATTTCCTTCGCAATTTCATTAAACAATAGGATTAAATCTCTTCGAGATTCATAATCACTCTGTTTTGGGCGCCGAATGTCATAAACATCTTGAAGAATTGGCTCAAGATCAGATACACGTTCCTTTGTCACTGTAGGACCCTGTATTTCTTCAACTCAAACTTCTCTGCTTTCTTTTGCAAAACTAAAGACATAGCACAAAATAGTAACATTAGTTATGACTATGATATGCAAAACATCGTCACATCTTTAGCTTGGCACTTAGCTAGGTAAAAATGCAATTGTATAAACACAAAATTCCAATGAGTCATAACCCTTTGTGAAATCTGTTAACTCTTCAATTTTGTTTAGAAGGAACTTCACCTTTTGGTCATGTTTTCTAATTATATTAAGGGATAATTGCAGCAGAGACCCAAACCTTTAAAACAGAGTTTTTCCAAATCTTTGATTTGTTGCAACCGTCACCCCAAATCTTTCGAAACGTTGCGACAGAGACCCTATTGGATGGTTTCTATCTACAATTCCGTAAGTTGACCAAAAATTTGACTTTGACTACATTTTTAATATTTTGGAAGGGGCAAAAGAGTAACTTTCTATTTATCATACTAAAAAATTACATTTGTTAAATTAAAACATAAAAAAATAAAAAATAAAACAATTCTCTTTAGCACCCACCCCACCTCAAATCCCAATCATTGTATAGCTCACCAGAAAATGGGGTTAAAAAACCCCAATCGACTCCCATTAATTTCAAGAGATTGAAACGGAAATTGTTGCCTAGAAAGGCCGAAGTGGAGGACCTGAAACCATTAATTTCAAAATATTCTTCAAGTTTCGATGATGAAAACTACGAGGGTCCAACAGTGTCAATGGAACAATGCGAAAATGGTGTTTAAATACTTGGACGAAATCGGCGATGGCAAAATCTCACAGGAAGAGCTATGGAAATGCGTAAGGGCTATAGGTGGCGAAATGTTGGAGGGGGAGGCGGAAATGGTAGTGTGATAGTCGGATGCAGACGGCAATGGAATGTTAGGGCTAGAGGACTTCACGAAGTTGATGGAGGGCGACGGCGAGGAGAAGAAAATGGAGGAATTCAAGGAAGCATCAAAATGTACATAATGGAGAATAGTGAATTCATAATGCCTAAAAGTTTGAAGAAAATGCTGAATAAACTGGGGAAGTCGACCTCCATTGATAATTGCAGGGGAGATTTTTATAAATGACCTGTCACTCTTCATTTTTTATAAAATGTCTATAATAGCTTTAATGAAATGATTTGTCATATTTTGCACAAGATATTCTTAATTTATTGAGATAATTCTAAAATTTCTCTATTTCTTTCATTTCGAGTTTTAATATATAGTTTCATCCTTTGATCTAATAAATTAGCATAATTTGTAATATAATTGTCATGTAATTCACTAAGATTATCATATTCCTTAGATGAAATATCCATAGTCTCTAGTTGAGCAAAAATATTTCTTATTTTCCTTAATAGTTTTTCTAACAGATTATCTAATCCTTTAATTGTATAACCTGACATTATTCAGATAATTCCTTGCAAGCTTTATGAATAATGACATGTTAGATAAGTTTTTTGCAAACATGAAAAGTAATAATCCCTACGATTCTTTCAAGATATTAGAAGAATTCTTTCTAAATTTAACAAAGAGAATAATTTTACCTTACTTTTGATCTTAAATCTGTATTCTTAGAATCGAGTGACCTTCAGGCTCTGAATCTGCAAACTGCTCCCTCAAACGACCTCTTGCCTCAATGGAAATTCTGCTATTTCAGCTTCTTACCCTCACTGTATCTTTTTTTAGAATTAAGAATAAAGATCTTAAGTAAAGAAAATTCTCTCTTTGTTAAAGTAAGAAAGAAATTATCTTCTTCAATCTATCAAAAATCTATGGGATAGGAAGTTTAGAAACTCATATCTTTCTGATATCAAAAGATTGAAATTTTATTTCTATAATGATTTATACAAGATTTCTATTGTATACAAGAGGTTTCCAGAAAAATTGATTTTGAAAGCTTAAGGAAAGAGAATAGTTTCTAACACGAGATGATCCATTCTTTCCCCAAACACCTCTATTTATACATGACTCAAACTCATTATTATTGATCTATTACATCATTGCATACATCAAAATTTTGAAAAAAGGGTCACATGCCTCTCTATTCTTTTCTTCCTGGGGTTTACATTTTCACATGCATTTTTTTCTTTTTCATCAAAGGGGCATCTTTTCTTCTATTATTACCTTTTCATCTTTTGCTTCATATGCAGCTGGCTAGATGCTTTTCTATTATTGTTTTTCCATCTTTGGCTTCATATGCAGCTGGCTAGATACTTTGGTAGTGGTAGGTTCTTTTCCATCCATCAATCTTTCAGTTTTGTCTACATGTGGGGCACTCCCTTAATCTGCATGATTCTTGGATTGTTGTTGGACTTCCATTAATTTGATGAGTATCAAATTTTTGGATATATTCTTTCAAAATGGTAGATTTTTCTTTTCCATTATTCGTAAGGAGTATCCATCCTTCATATTGGCACAAGCATCTGAATTTTTTTATCATATAAGTTCTTTGCAATGTTGTAAAGAATTTTCATCCCCAAAACTCTTCGAGATTTTATCCATGATTTATTGATTTTAGGCAATGGTTTATTATTTCGGCCAACTTCAATCTGGAAATCTCGGCCAACATATCCAATTGTAATAATATGTTCAGCAGGATAGTATATCCTTCCATCAACTTCGGGACTTATTGAATAAAATTTGATATAAATCGACCTCCCTTGGGCAAATTTTGAAACTTCTATCCTGAATATATCATCAAATTTTTCAATTTCTTTTAAATCTTTTTTTAGATAGATCAAATCTAGAAATCCATAATCTGCTGCCATTTTGATCATGAAAGGGTCTGCATCTTTGGTAATTATTAATCTGGGATAAACATGATCTCCCGATGCAATAAAATATGATTCATTTTCTTCCAATTTATAAACAATTTTGGCAAATGATCTATATTCTTCTTCTTTTGATGATAAAGGGGTATCATCATCTTCATCAGTTTTGATTCTTATAACTCTTGTATGTTCATCACCATTTTTTATAGTCACCTTCCGGGGACTTGCTATGTCTCGTTTGATATTGCTGGGTCCACTGCTGCTTCCTGGCTATGTACCTGTTTGTATTTTTGAGATTGTATCAATTGGTATTTCCTGTTTGGTATCTAATGACTCGAATTGTGAAGTAATATCAACAATTCTATCATTCAATTCTTTGGTATATTTGGAATGAGAATTAGAGATTTCCACCAACAATTTGACATTTTGTTGGATAGATTCTGCCATTTCCTCTAACTGCTCAATTCCAATTTTCATATCTTCAGATTCTTCCATGAGAAATTTCATTCGTCTGTTGACGTCTATTAATGAATTTTTGATATTATCCATCTCCGAATTCGATATTTCTGCTCAAAAAATCTGCAAGATAATTATTTATTCCTTTAATGTGAACAATATCAAAATTGTAAAATGATAAATATGCTTGCCATCTGTGTAACCTTCTATATTGAGGTTCCATAGGTAACTTCTAATAAGTCCTGCAACTTGAGAATTATCAGTTTCAATAACAAATTTTTTAGATAAAAGGAATAATGAAAACTTTTTTATTCCTCTAATAATTCCTAATAATTCTTTTTATGAGTAGTATAATTTATTTTTGTTTGGTTAAAAGTTCCACTTGAATATCTACATATTTCATTTAAATCTGTTTTTAATATAGCTGCCCAATATTTATCCGAGGCATCAGTATTGACAATTAGATTATCTTTTTCATCTGATAATCTTAATTTTGGTAAATTTTTACATTCTTCTTTTAATGATTTAACAATTTCAGTATGTTCTTTATTCCAACATTTAGTATTTGTTTTTTTAAGTAGAATTTGTATATTATGTCTCTTTTTTAAGAGATTTTCAATAAATCTTTCAGCATAGTTTAAACATCCTAAAAAATTTTGTATTTGTTCTTTGGATTTTAATTCATCTGGAAAGTTTTCTATCTTTTTAGATATATGAGTTTGTAATTTTATTCCCTTTCTATCTATTGATAATCCTAGAAAATCTATTTCTTGTTTCTCTACTATAGATTTCTTTTTAGAAAGTACAATCCCTTCCTTTTTGCATTCATTTATGAATTGTAATAAATGATTCCTATACTCTTTTTTATTATTAGAGCATATTAGTAGATCATCAATATAAAAAATAAGAAAATCATTATACTTTTTGAATATATTATCCATTTTTCTTTGAAATATTTGTGGTGCATTTTTTAAACCAAATGGCATAACTAGCCATTCATATTTTCCTTGAGGTGTACTAAAAGCTATATATTGTATACTATCTTCTTCCATTTTTATTTGCCAAAATCCTGATTTACAATCAAATTTGGAATAATATTATTTTCCTTTTGCAAGATTTATTAGGATTTCTTTATTTGGTAAAAAGTAACCATCAAATTTAGTATATTTATTTAATTCTTTATAGTTTATTACCATTCTAGCTTTTTCTCTAATCTGCTCAGAATTATATACTTTATTTATTATTACTTGTTTACTACCAAGTATTAAATTAACTTTTTCAGCACTATCAATTATTTGAGTACTTTCTCCAGTCACTCCTATTATTTTTATTTTACTATTTTTATTTCATGATTTTATTAAGAAATTTTTAAAAATTGTTATATCACTTCCTGTATCAATTAAGGCACAAGTTGTTATGTTTGTTTCTACTATAGTAACTTGTATATATACTGCCAATGGAAAGCTTATTTGATTATTCATCCAATTCCTATTTTACATAATGTAGTTTGTCCTTTATGAGTTATATATAATCCTTCTCTTTTTATACTATAATCTTCTAATCCATTTAAGAAACTCAGTCCTAATAATATATGAGGTTCAATATCCATACTTTCATCCAAATAACATGGTACTAAAAGATCAATCCCACCTATTTTTATTGGTACCTTTACCTTTAATTTTGTAATATATAGTTGTCTATCAAAATTTCTATATTCATATGGTTCTATCTTGTAAGTCATTAATCCTTCATTTTTATTTACAGCCATATGACATTCACCAACTCCTGTATCTATCAATATATTTGGTCCTTTTATATACCTTCTACCGTTGAAAATTTTCCTTCTATTTTCATAGTTCCAATATTTCTATGAGGTTTTATTTCTTTTATACCACTAGTTTCTCCTATATATTTCTTTTTATTAGGTAGTCTAAGACTTTTTGATTTCTTTATCAACCTTCCATTATGAAATGTTATTTTATAATCTTCTTCTTCTCTTAACTCTATTATTTCAGGCTTATTTTTAGTTATATTAAATTCATATTCTTCTGGGATAAGATTTATTTGTTTGTTTGGTTCCACTATTTTACTAATATCCTTACATTCCTTATGAATTTCTATATATGGTTTATTAGAATAAATATTCTCATAATTAGAATTAATAAATGTGTATAATGCCCTATATTCCATCGTCATAATTTGATCTCCTGGTTCCATTATATAATTTCTATGTAATTTGAAATGTAATCCTAAAATTTCATTAAAGTTTTTATCTTTCAATGAGACACAATATTTTGGGTAACAAATAAATATTAATTTTTGATATGCTAAATTTCCTTCTATAGTTCCTAAATGACTATCTCCAAGATTTATAATTCTTCCATCAGGTAAACTTACAGTTAATGGTGAATCTATTCCTTCTCTAAATAAGGATTTAAACATTATTTGTATTCCTGCTAAATAAACATATTGGATCCTTTCACTATGTTTTTTACTTATTTTTGATAATAATTCTGATACTGTATTTTTTGTTAAAAGGTTTATTTTATGTGTTCCTTGAGTAGTTATAACATCTATAATTTTTTCAATCTTATGGTATTCATTTATTGCTATTCTTTCTCTTCTCCATATTTTATCTAAAATTTCTCATTTTCCTATTTTCAAATTTAAGGATAACTTTTGTATTTTCTTAAATTTATTATTATCAAAAGTTACTTTTAATCCATAACCTTCTATTCCCTCATATTCTTGGATTTCTATGTTATTATTTTCTATTTCTTCAATTTCTCTATTCAGATTCTGATCCATAATCTTCTGAATCTACTTCACTTATAAATATTTCTTGATTATTAT